AAATAGACAATTGTATGTTGTGATTCATGGAAACAAATTATTGACTCCTTTTGATATAGACCCCAGTATTTTTGACTTTGGACTTGTGAGACCAATTTATGACCTTTGTAATTATGATCCTGAATTTCTGATATGGGATTTTGATTCCCATTGCTATTGTCTCACAAGTATCAATTATAAAAAGACAGAATGTATAGTTGTCAATAAGAAAAACAGCCCAAGATACGTGCTATGAATTGAAAATGTCAAAATCAAGCAAGCAAAGAAATTTAAATATCTGGTAGGAGTTATAACAGACAACAGAAAATGTGACACAGAACCCTGAAAGGATAATGGAAGAGTGGAAGATGCCTTCACAACATTAAACAAAGTATTAAGAAACAGGAAAATTTCATAAGAAACAAAGAAAAGAGTGCCAAACTGCTACATAATATCAATCCTCATATGGCAGTGAATACTGAACAATTTCCTCACAGATGAAAATAAAACTTGAAGCAACAGATATGTGGTTCTACTGAGGAATGTCCTTAGAAACAAAGAAATGTATACTAGACTAATATATAATAATAATATCTTACTATATAGCAGTGAATGCTTAACAACTTACAGATGAAGAAGAGTTTGGGCAACAGCGATGTGTTTCTGCAGAAGGATGCTGAGAATAACATGGATTGAACATATGAGCAATGAGGAAGTTTTAAGAGAAAATGGTAATGGGACACTTTGCTGAGAATCAGAAAAAGGCAACTGAAATTTCTGGGACATATAATGGAGAAAGAGAGTTTGGAGAACTTGACATTCAGAGGACATATTGAAGGAAATAGGAGCAGAATAAAACATGCCTAATCAGATTGTGAAAATGGATGACAGAACATAGACTGAGATGGATAGAAAGGAGATAAAGATTGTTTAGAGTTACAGAGGATAGGAGGTTGTGGATGGCCATGAACACCCATACCTTGAAGTGACACAGCACATAAAAGAAGAAAAACTCTATAACATAATCATAATAATGAAGCTGCCACTTGGTGTGTCAAGTGCAGGGGAAGGGAAACTAAAATTTCTTGCACTGTTATCATTAGAAGTTATAAATATTACAGACAAAAATATATGCAAAAACACTTGGTCACTTAAAAAATACAAGATGTGTCAAGTATTTAAAAAAAAAAAAAAAAAAAAAAAAAACTTACAACCACATGTGTATATAGAGAAACTGTTTGACTTGTGTTAGTATACAAAAATAAATTTCTAACAAAATTGAAGAATACACAATTGAAATATTGTCTAGAACTTTTGAGAAGAGTCATTGATATTCCTAACTTTCTTGAGATATTTTAAATCATTCTTTGTTTTTTTGATATCTTTATCAATGTTTTGGCTTGTTGATTTCACTCAATATAGGAGTGAAATCAACAAGCTTTTCCCCTTCCTTTTTATAGGCAATCTTTTCCCCTTCCTTTTTAAATGCATGCGGGGGTGGGGGGATATTTTTCTTAATCAATAAAATAGGTCAGTTTACAATTTGAAACAGTCCAGATCTGCCTTGTCTACAAGACAGACTACTGTGTTCATTTGTCTGACCTTGCTTTTGTGCATAGATACCAATTCGTAGTTTGTAAACTAGGCTTTCTTACCTGTAAATTTGCTTTGCATATATTGTTTGCTTGCTTGCTTGATGCCATTTCATTTTTGCCCTTTTTCTTTTTATTGCAAACTTTAATTTTGTTATTTCTTTTTCAATTGATAATGCCTACTATCTCATTATGGCTGAACCATTCTTCGGTGTTTGTGAAGTGTATTACTCAGTAGAAGAAAAAGGATTAAAAAAAAAATCTTAAAGATGCCTTTCAGAAAGTATTAAAGGATCAGAGACAGCTGAAGGAGAAACAGAGAAGACAACACTTTTGTAGGACATAAAGAAAGAAGTCTTAGAGAATTTAACACTAACAGAGCATATTGAAGTCAAGAGATTAAATGGATGGCAGAACAAGAATGACAGTCAGACAGCAAAAAAAATGAGAGTTAGAGCAACAAATGACAAACTTTTGGAGAGTCAGGATTTTTCACATCCTGAAAGAAATTAAAGATTTAACAAAATATAATGTCCTGGCAAGGGTAAAGCACATTGTTTAGAAAATGAAAAATATTTTTCATTATATCGTCAAATAATGGCTAATAAGAATGCTGTAATAGAAATAATCCAAAGGATGATTATAGTTTGGGAAAATTTAAAAGCTAATGGCATATTATTTCTCAAAAAGTATCAAAACAAAATACATAAAATTGAATCTTTTTTTTTTTTTTTTTTTTTCAATCAGAATCAAAACCATATAAAATCAAAACCAAAAATTATTCCCACAATACATAGAATCATTGCTGAAACTGTTACAAACTTCAGAATGTATAAAGCATAAACCAATGACTTATAAATATCTCAACAATGATTTTTACAATTTTTTTATTCTTTTTTCTTTATTTTATTTAATTAGAAAAATAGAAGACAATTCTCTTGAGGCAAATAGTCTGGATGATAGGGGGAGGTTAAAAAGAAAAAAAAAAACGAACAAGTTCTCTATTGATAATGTCCTGTGAGGGTTGTGAAAGAGTAATTGCACATTGGAATGCAATTGCGAAATTAGAAAGTGTGCAGCAGACGACGCCAGCGAATGGAGGAAAATGTCAATCAAAAGTAGAAGGAAAAGAAATGGTGCGAAACAAAAAATTTAATTTTTTGTCTGCAATGGAAAGAGAAAAATGATTTTGGCATAATCAATTGACATTGGATCAAAGAAAAGTTTAAAGGAAAAAAAGTGAATATAATATATTAATATGTAGTTGGACAACTAATGGACACTACAGAATATTGGAGATAAAGATGGAATGTGAGTGTAGTGGGGTGGATATATAGTGAGGGAATGTGAAGAGTTGTACTGCAAAGACAGAGAGAGAGAGAGAGAGAGAGAATATGACAGTGGCTTGAGAAGTGAATACATCAAAGCCAAGCACTGGAAAAGCAGGGGGTGAGATACAGTAGAAAGTGGCAAAAGCAGTTAGAGGTACAAGACATCAAAAAACTGCAAAGGCAAAGAGTTGGGAGTAAAAACTGTATCAACAAATAAACAGAATGAATTGAAGGTAAGAATAAAAGATAGGATTAAGAGAAAAGTGGATTAAGGATAGTCAAAGACGTTAATAAAGAATTTGATTAAGAGTTATTAATGATGGAAAATTATCATTAAAAACAAAGAAAAAAGCACTGAACTGTTACATAATATTAGTTCTCCTATATGGCAGTGAATGCTGGATAATCTCCTCATAGCTGAAAACAAAACTAAAGGTAACAGAAATGTGATTCTACAGAAGGATACTGAGAATATCATGGCAAGAACATGTGAGCAATGACCAAGTTTGTAGCTCTTAATAAACATTGTCTTTTTTGTTATCTCTCATAAACCTTGTTCCGCCATCCATTTATTCAAGCTCACTAAGTATGCTACACATTTTCTTCCTCTATCTGTTTTCAATTTGTCCTCTAAGTATCAAATTTTCCAAACCCTCTTTCCTCATTATGTGCCCTAAAAATCTCAACTATCTCTTTTTGATACGACATATACATGTCTGTTTTGTTTCCATTTTCTCTGTTTTCCATGTTTTTCCATTTTGCTTATATGTTCAGTTTATAATATTCTCAGCATCATTTTGTAGAACAAAATTTTTGTTGTTTCAAGTCTCTTCATCTCTTTGTCCAGCATCCATTGTCATATAAAAGGACTGATATTACATAACAGTTCAGTACACTTTTTTTTGTTTGTTTCTAATGAAAATTTTCCGGTTTCTTAATACTTTGTTTAACTTTTGAAAGGCATCTTTTGCTATCGAAATGCACCTTTGGATTTCAGTATCACACTTTCTAACCTCTGTTAAAACACTTCCCAGATATTTAAATTTTTGTAGTTGTTTTGATTTTGAAATCTCCAATTTGTAATGAAGATGTTGAACTGTTCCTTTTACTAACAACCATGCATTCTATCTTCTTGTAATTGATGTTTAGTCCTTTGTTCTTGCTTTCCTTCATTACCTTCTTAGAGTTCTTGTAGATTCCTTTCTATATCCTACTATCAACACTGTGTCATCTGCATATCTTATGTTGTTAAGGTAGTGGTTACCAATAATGAATCTTAGTAGGACTTCTAATTTTCTCAGAATCACCTCAATGTATAGGTTGAATAATCACACGAGAAGACACATCCTAGTCTTACACTCACTTCTATTTTTGTATATTTGCTGAATCAATTTTTATATCCATATGCAGGTGGATTGCTGCCAGTATAAGTTCTTGATTATTCTAATATCTGTCTACATTTCTGAGATGAGGCATTATGTACACTATTTACATTGTCCTCATCTTTGTTGCCATATTTATCACAACGTTTCGGCCATTGTATGCTCCGGCCTTCTACATGGCACAGTGGATAAAGGCATTAGTTAGATCCAGTGACAGGACCCAAAGAGTATGAGTTCAATACTTGGTTAAGGCAGTGGAGAACTTGGAGAGGGGAATTAACAGGAGATAACTGATAACTGACATCCATTAGACATGGCATGTGGAACTAGAACAGTCTACTCCAGTGAGAGAAATAAAAGGTTCAGTTTGACATTCCAAACACCTGAAGAAGGCCAAAGTGTACAAGAGCAAAAACGTTGTGATAAATATGGCAACAAAGATGAGGACAATAGTCAGAACAATGTAAATAGTCTTCAAATATCATTCCCAACGATGTCAAAGATACCTAACAGTTGCAAAGAGTTCTTTGTGAGCTACTTCATCAAATGATTTTGCACATAGAAAATTTAATTGTTTCATGACAAATGTTAGTGAAACCAGAAACAAGTTTTATCCCTGTAGAAAAATATTTATTAGTGGCAACAATTCTGAAACGAGGTGGAGGTTTATTTTTTATTGAAAGAATTTGTAAAAGAAAGAAAATATATAGACTTACATGATTCTGGATAATCATTATCAGACTGTGCTGGGAACACAAGTGGTTGGTCAGCACCTGTGAAAAACTGAAAGAAAAAAGAAAATACAAGTAATAAATACAACTTCTATTATTCTAAATTTATAAGATTAATAATAATAGAACCGAGAAAGCACATGAAAATTATGAGAACTTTATACATTTTTTTCTGGCTAGCAGAAATCCTGCAAAAAAGTACTCAATAGATAAGTAGAACTATAATATTCAATAATTCAATTAATTAGGAAAAGTTCAAGTGACTTATTTGGTTAGCTGACTCAAGCATTTTATGTTGAAGCACTCATCAGGACCAGATGTTTGATAAATCTTATAATTAGATCTCATATTTATAGCCTTTATAAAATTAAAAGTTTTGCAATATATATATATATATATATATATATATATATATATATATATATATATATATATGGTATCAAATGACAATTGGAAAAAAATCTTACATTTTGCCGACACGTTTCGTCTTCCGACTTTTTCAAGGCAAAAAAATGAAAAAAATGTTTTTTGTTGTTATAGTTACATTAAAAATCCAAATTTAAAAAGATAGACACTTCTGTCTAAGCCTTTTTTCTGGTTAATGTAAATTACTTTTATAGTAAGGATTATTATTATTATTATTTTTTTTTTCCCATGTCGACAATATAGTTAAATTCCCAGATGAATTCTGTGGACAATGTAAGATTTTTTTTTTCCAATTGTCATTTCATACCAATCTGTCTTGTCCACAGAATTCATCTGGGAATTTAACTATATATATATATATATATATATATATATATATATATAACTTGTTCTAAATTTAAATCTTGTGACATTTCTAACAAAACTCAAGTATGTTAAAAATTTAAAATTTTAAGTTAGAATTAGCATTCATTCATTCAGAAAGGACTATAAGTAGGAGATTTGATAAGTCCAATAGATTTATCAAACATCTGGCCCTGACTAATGTTTTGAAACACAACTCAAGTTGACTAATCACATAGATAACTAAAACTTAATTTCTTGAACAAAAGAAACATTAAATATAAAAGACAATGAAAATGTTCTTCCCCCACCCCACAAAAACAAAAAAAAAAAAAAAGATAACACAGCCCAAGTCTCCAAGCTTAAAACTTCACAATGGCTATTACATTTTTCATCTTAAATGTTACCAAAGAAGTTTGAACTAAATTTCTCATTTGTTCTCTCTTTATTCTTCCAAACCTCCAAGTCTATGAGTAGAATGAATGCCAGACTGAGGAGAAAGCACTTTACTCATTCCATATAAGCAGAGACTGTTTCAAAGCCTCAAGTTTGTGAGGCAACCAATGTAATTTAGACATGCACAATTATCTTGATGAACTGAAGTGGCAATGATGGTGACATTAACAGTGGCACTGACAAAAGAGGTGCTAATTTTCAGCCTGTGCCTGTCAACTCAATTGAAGACCGGCATCTATTATGGTTCTCAGAAGAGGACAAATGACTTTGGTTTGCCAACATCTGCAAGGACAAAATTTCACACAAGTACCGTCCTTCAGTTGCCAGAAACAAGTGTTTACTACAAAACTAAAATACCTCTTAAGATAATTGCAAAGGGAAAAATACTGCTACTTTCAATGTTGCTTAAAAAATATACAATCTGAGGTAAAGATTATTAAATATTGATTTCATTTATTCAAATTTAAAAGTGATTTTTCTTAACTAGGCCATAAAATTCTTTTTTATGTCAACTAACCTACAAAATGCTTTTTTGTGCCAATTTAGCTGCTAAACCTTTAAGCTATGTGTAAGTAAATGGCCCTTATGAAAATGTTATTAGCTAAATGCAAGCCAAATTTTAAATTTTAATAAAACAATTTAGTATTAACAGAAATATTCTTCAAGGTAAATAGAACAACTCCTAGGACAAAATTTTAAAATTTTAAACATTCATTTCTGCTTGAATTAGTGGATTAAAGAATTGGTTCATGAATTTAGTCACAGTGAGTTCAATCCCTCAGCCAGGTTGTACAGAGTCAGACTACATTATAGAACAAACTCTTGAGAGAATGTTCCCCACAAACATTACAATCTGAACCTCTTCAAATCTAAAGTCAAATGTTACCTTTCGTACATATCCTCATAAATGGCATATACTTCCCCCTTTTACATCCATACAACAACCTCATTTAGTAACACTCTACATTGATTGACTCTCAGGCCTTGAGAGTTAGTAAACAAAATAGGATTGAACATTATAGGTAAAATTTACAGAATTACTTATCCACTCTTGTGCGTGTGTCTGTCTCTCTCCACAACAAATAAGAGATTAATAATACCAGAACAAATTTACAGTTGTTAGTAACAAAAACTCAGTATTTTTTTGTTAATTTAGCTGTTAAGCCTTTAAGCTATCACTTGGTCAACAACTCTTTCTTAAAACTTATGTAGACAATCAGCATTAAAATTATCATCCACATTTTCATTGTTTTTTATCAGGTAGCATTCTATTTGAATTTCTAGAATGAGGAATTATTTTTTACATTTGGACTAAAGTCCTCATCTCTGTTGTTATTATCACCCAATTGCCTTCTGTTTGAATTTTTGAGATGAGGAGTTACCATTATTTACATCTGGACTAATATCCTCATTTTTAGTGTTATTACCACCTATCTGAATTTCCAAGATGATGAGTTACTATTCAATTTATTTACATTTGGACTAATATTTTCATCTTTGTCAAATCAGGAGTTATTATTTACATTCAGATTATTATCCCCATCTTTGCTGTTAGTGTCACACCATTATGGCCTGTTGTGATAATAATAACAAAGATGAGAATAAGAGTCCAAATGTAAATAATGCTATCTCCTCATCACAAAAATTTAGACAGAAGGCAATCGGGTAATAATAACAAAGTTGAGGACTAATATAAATAATGAAAACTCCTTATCTCAAAATTTAAACAAGAAGGAGGCCGGGTGTTATTAACACAGATGAGGACATAATAATGTAAATAATAGTAATAATTTCATTTAAATAGGAAACACTAACTTCTAAATTTATGTGAAATTTTTAGTTATATCAAGGCTCTGTGAGGAACAGACCATGGCTCTTATCTCAATCAGTTATACAGATTTCCAGTAAAATCTTCAGTATTTCAGATTACAGATGAGAATCTTAACCAATAGATGCAGCTATGTCAATATCATCTGGTGCTACAAGGCCACACCTATGCACAATATGGCACTGTTTTTAGCAGAAGCTGAAAGTTTGGAATAAAAGAGACAAGATCAGTTAATCTGGATTCAAAATTACAATGATACTACTATACTTTATAATTTGAGAAACTCGGTTTCAGATAAACATTTCCAAAAATCCGAAAACAAAAAAAAAATGTAAATAGTTGTAGGAAAAAATAAAAATAACATAATGCCAATTGCTCTCCTCAGAAGTTTGCATCAACATAAACTAAAAAAAAAGAAAAATTGTTTAAAAAAAAATAAAAAATAACAGCCGACTTATTCCTAAGAGAAGACAAAACCTTTTCGATATCAACAATGAATCTTTTTAATATAAAATCTACAGAGTCCATAACCAAGTCTTTCATTTTTATTCTTCAAAGATTCAATCAGCATCTATCCCCCTCTGCCACACCAATTCCAATTGATCACTAACTCAGCAGTGTAATGTTACACAATACTTACCAAAGAAATCAGAAGTAGCAGCAAAAAAGAGAAATGGAAAAAGAAAAATGATGTATATAGAAATATATGAGGAAAAATGATATGAAAATAAAGTAAATAGAGAAGGAAAGATAGAGAGCTGCAAAAGGTGTTGAAAGAACCAGAGTGAGATATAACCACATAAAATATACTGCTGCTATATAAATCTATGAAGATATATAGGTCTGGTTCCAGTGGAGAGAGTTCCAGCCTGGATAAAGAGCTAGAATTTATAGATATATAGTTCAGGTTCCAGTGGATATAGTCACAGTATTTTACTGTAAGACTCACCTGGCTCCACCTATAACAAAATAATTCCCTTGGCACTTTGCAGCTCTCAACAACATAAGTACTGTCTTCTAAATGCCTGGTTCCAGTGGACAAAGTTCCAGCTTGGATAAAGGGCTAGAATTTATAGATATGTATAAATATATAGTTTATATATAGTTCTGGTTCCAGTGGACAAAGTTCCAGTATTTTGCTATATGACCCACCTGACCACACCTATAACAGATACAGTCTGGCATTGGCATTTTGCAGTTTTTAACCATGCTTACTAAATACCTGCTGGTCTATTTTTAGTTTCCTAAATCCACCTAACGATGACTGTTATATGAAGAGCTTTTACCTTATGAACAGTCAGTGTCCTAGATCTGGTTATCACACTCCTCAGGTCCATAGTTTCTAGACGAGATAACTGTTAAAGGGTAACCAAGATTTTGATCTGGGGAAACTCGTTACAAATGTCAGCTTAACTAGTCACTCCAACCCTTCTTCTAGAAATCCCAATAACCCTACTTCTTTTATGTGCTGTGTCCATTCAAGACATAGGTAATTGTGGCTCTCCACAATTTCTTATCCTTTGTAGCTCTTAATAAATTTAGTCTTTTTGTTATCTCTCCTAAACCTTGTTCCACTATCCATTTGAGTAGATTACACATTTATTTCCTCTGTCCCTCTTGCTTTCAACCTGCCCTGGGAGTATCAAATTTTCCAAGCCCATTTTCTTCATTATGTACCCTAGAAATTTCAATTTTCTCTTCCTGATGTTAAGTGTAAGTGTCCTTTTTGTTTCAATTTTCTTTAAATATTGTTGTTGTTCACACATAATTCTGCTTGTTCTTTAGCACATTTCTTATGCCCTGTCATTTCCTCAGGTAAAGCATTCCTGTTTGATTGTGAGGATAGCCAGAAGAAAAATATATTAAAAAAGTTTCATTTTAAAGAATGAATGAATGAATGAATGAATGAGAGAAGATACAGGAGACAATAACATTCATGTGTTTAACATCTGCTTCAGTGAAATGTAAAACCTTGTCAACTTTTAATCTTTTCATTTGTA